AAAATATTTTTTTTTTTAAATAAAATAAATTAAACAGAAATATTATGTGTATTTTTGTATGTGGAAACATGGCTTGCCCACTAAAAAATATAAAGAAGTGTGGTCTGCAGTTATTTTATTTTTATTTTTTTATTTGTGAAAAAAACTGGAGTGTAAACAATAAAACACTCACAGTGCAAGGCTAGTTCACCGACATGTCTATTCTCTTGCTTGAGTGTGAAAGTACATGGTTTAGTGACTACCTCTTATATTTTTAAATTTCAGAATTTTTTTTTATTTGGGAAGGTTCTTCTATAAAAATAGAACACATATATATATATATATATATATATATATATATATATATATATATATATATATATATATATATATATATATATATATACATATATATATACATATATATATACATATATATACATACATATATATACATATATATATATATACATATATATACATGTATATATATATATATATATACTGTGGGCAGTGGACAAGCCTAATAGAATTACCATACCATCTTATTACAGGGGTTAAAGACATGTCAAATGACATGTCTGTCAATTAACGTTGACATTATTAGATAAGACGCAAACAACAGGTTCTACAATCAGTATAATCATAGACCCTTGTTCTATGGCATAATTTGAAATTTAAAAAAGATTGAACTTTGGAAATACAGTACCATGAATTAATGAAATAAATTAATGTACACACCATATTACGCTCAAATTATACAGGATTATCATATTTTATTTAATAGGTAAAATAAAATATTAAAATCTATATCATAAAGTACTAAGTGTTGCGAATCTTTACAACATTTTCGAGTTATGCGATATACGAGTGAGTTAATATTCAAATGAGATGACATCACAAGGCTTACCGGCATAAATTTGTCTTTGGCTCAATTCCAGCATATCGATGTAGTTAGCCACTAAACCGGCGTCGTTGATCACGTGTTTTGCGTAATATTTCACGAAATAATGCGTCTTGAAAATGATGTCGACCAGAAGAAAAAAGAGAGACGTGATTCGAATAAACAACGGTGCACGTTTGAAGACTGCCCATACGTAGTTTGGTCGGAAGAAATCTATGAAATAATGCTTTTTCGGGTTGTTGCTGGTCTCGTTCTTTGTAGACCGATTCCTCTGGTGTATCGGACTGTAGTTGACCTCCCCCGGTTTTTCGTGTACGCCTGGCAACTGCACGGCCACGCAATCGAAGTCGGTGTCTAGTAATTTCTCCCCTTTCGCCTTGGTGTACTCCCTGGCTGAACGGAAGTCTACCACGGTTCGTATGCCGAGTTCCCGAATCTTTTCATGGTCTCCCTCGGTTATAAAGTCCGGACGCGATGACCGATACAGCATAGCATGTTCGGGGAAGACCTTGCGTAGATTCGGCATCGAACCGAGGTGGACAATTCTCGATGGGACAGTCTCGACATGTTCACTGACACCGGTGTCTTCCATGGCTGAAAGTGAGAGATGCTGTGCTTCACTTCTTTCAATATTAATGCATGGTGGCGCTGTTCAAAAATAAATAAATTATGCTCACCATCTTTGACCCCGGTACCCAGAGTTAGCAGGACCAGCACAATATAAACGTGACCTTGATAATGAGATTCTGTTTTTCCTGAGTGTTCAAATAATAGAAGCTGGCATTTTTGGACTAACGTTATGTAATTGAAACACAAGCCACAAGTATTAGATGGCTTACAAAAGAGGCTATAGTTAATATGGGCAAATGATTTGCTTGAGCCATTGGTAAATTTATGGAATTGATTTTGCTGTGATAATGTATACATGTATGAACAATTATGTGAATATGGTGTTGTGTGTTATAGGAAGTAGGTGATGTCTTAAGTCCTTTGGTTATGTCATTTGAATCAAGAGGGGGAGGTTAAAGTACTTGATCGGAAAGAATGATTATATTTGTTCTTTGGCAGTGAATGGCTTATTTGTACTTGACTGTGACCCACCCACCACTCGA